CCCCAAAACCCCAAAACCCCAAAACCCCAGCTTAACAATCGAATTTCAAATTATTGGAATTTTATCAATCTAAAATAAAAATTTAATATATTCATTAGACTTATCATATACTATGAATTGTGTTCATTCCGCAATTTCTTCTTCCATAAATTTAATCCTTTGCTAAACTATTTCCAATTTTTGAGAATCCTATGATTGTTTGAAATAATCCTCAAGTTTTTTATCAAAAGCTATTTAGTTCAATACATTTTGCTTATACTAATCTTCAGTCAGTTATCCAGATTATATTTATCCCATGATATTCTATAAAATCTAAGAAATGTTTATAATTTACCCTTTTGTTAAGTGCAATTTATTAAAATTTCTATGTATGTTCTTACGGTGGTCTACCTTCCTCTGAATATTTCTAAGTCTATTTCATCATTATCTGCATTTTATTATCGATGGCATTAACACTATATTTTAATATGAATGGAATAATAATTACGAGCAATAAAATTTAGCCTAGTCTGGATCTTGTACGTCCTATTTATTCAGTCCTGAAGAGAGTTATAAGATTTTTTCCTCTTCAACGTTTTTTACTTAAGATTAATTTTAAGTTCTTTATTTCTACAATGCTGTAGAGTTTAATTATTATTTATTATTCTTTTAATTCGCTTGCATTTTTCCCTCTTCCTATTATTTATTTTATTGAGGGCTTTAGATCAATTAATTGTCATTTAAATTAAAAGCTGGGTGGATTATATCAAACTACATATACTCTTCTCCATCAGATACTTCGAATTCTGGAACTTTCAATGATTTCCTTAATTACAACCATACTTTGATGCTTCGTCCTTAACTATTATCAGGCTTAGAAAAGCATAAGCATCCTCCAGGTTGAACAAATTCACTTGCTATTTGAAACTCATATGAGTCCTGGCAATTCGTCTCGAGTTTTTTGAATTTCACAGTTTTATCAACTATATTTCTATCCCCCTTCTTTATGATAATTCTAACATCTTTTTTAAAAAGTACCTTCATTGAGAGAGGCTTTTACACGACATAAGATTTCTTGATTGTTTCATTATTGATCTTAAAAATCTAGTTAAACTTTTCACTCTCATTTATATTCATTAATATATCTATTTTTATCCCCTTATCGACGCAAGGCTTAGTAGAATCTATTTGAAATCTAAATTCTTCATCTCTTAAATCCTCATTCATGACTAAAGTCTTAATTTCTTCATTTTTCATCTGAAACTTTGGAACTGGCATCCAGGGATTTGAATTGCATTATTTAAGTTACTAAATTTATTACCCAATCACCTTTGCCTTATCTATATAATTGGATGCTTCTGCCTTCAATTTGTTCTTTTCATCCTATTTTTATTCTAGTTTAGATTGCTCAAGTATATCAGTTGCTCTATTTTTCCATTTGAAGAATTGCTTCTCTGCTTGATCTAAAATCTCTTAGTATCCTATATTGATTAAGCAACAAATAATAATGTACTTCTTTATCTCTTATCTTGAGTCTCTCCAAATAAAATGACTGGTGTTAATTCAGGTTCTACCTTCAGAATATCAATTCTTCTACCTTACTAAGTTAATCTTATAACTATTTTGAGTTTTTCAGCAGCTTCTAAGAGCTCTTAGGCTTGAGATTTATTGTCAATCGTCATCAAATATCTGACAGCCTTTGCATAGCTGTCAAGTCTTTTTTCTAGTGATTAGAGTAACTCTTCATCTACTTCTTATCCTGGAAGATTAATATCATCTGGCCTTAAGAGGAAATCAACCTCCTTCAGAATTTTCGGCTTTGGCATCTCTACCTAATACAAATTCTCCTCCATCGGCATTATTTTAGCTTGAACAGTCATCTTTTTCATGTTTGGCTTTTATTTAATCATTGACATACTTTAGATTTCAATACTATCTTTAAGTGAATGATTTCCTGACATTGTATCATCTCTCTCATCCCGATCTGTATCTTTTTCTACTATAACTTATTATCTACTGCCAATATTTTCTTAGATCTCTTTGATCTCATTATTTATTAATTCTATTCTCTTGCTTATCCTTTCGTGATTTTAAGAACCTCTAACGACCTGCAGAATCTACTTCTCTAATTCCTACTTTGCTTTAACCATTCCTTTCAAGTACTTCTCTTTACTCATCTATCCAATCTACAACTAGCTTTTAAGCATGTCCCTATCTGATTCAAGTCCCTCAATTTTAAGCTAATAGTAGTCTTTGAAATCATTTTCTTTAGCTGATTATATTGCATTCTGAAGATACTTAATCTCATTCTATATTATACTAATGCATTTCACTTCGCTAAGATCATGATACTTCTCTGTACAATATAAAATTAGACCAAATGTAAAGTTTATACCCTCATCATCCAAGATGTTCTGATAATCGGTCATAAATATGATGTTTGTTCTGATGGCAAAATTAAATTACTTTAATGTTTTTATCTAATTCTAAATATAATAATACCTATCATAAACTAATTAACTATTCTAATACGACTAATTATTGAATGTTTGAGCTAATGGGGTTTTGGGGTTTTGGGGTTTTGGGG